GTTCGTTTAGCAATCAAAGCTTCGTAGCTTTGCGATTATTTTTTTTATTTTTTTGATCTGAACCCTCTGACCCTTAAAGAGTGATTAGTACCTAATTTCTCCTTTTAACGTCACCCCTAAATCACAAATTAAGGTCTGGAGAATAAAGAGAATGATCATGAACCGTAGAAGCTCTTGATTTTCAAATAAATTTTCCTTTTAAGCAACTTAGGAAATTTCTAGAGAACATTATGGAGAGCGTGCATTCTGGTGTTAGAGTGTAAGGGGTTAATGAATGATTCAGCAGTGCTGGTCACTCTTAGGGTTTAAAGGTCAATAGACCTTTGCGCAAACCATATCGCTGCGTACATAACCAAACAGGAAGCGACACAGTGGGAGAAGATCCATCCCACCCCCTTACCCCCTCATCTCATCAGACCTGTTAGTTTTCTCGAACTATCTGTCTATCTGTCTGACGAAAATCATGGCAAGGGTAGGATCGCATTTTACTACTCAACTGGCGGATAATTTGTGAGTAACTTCGAGTGAAATTAATTGATAATTTTCGACCCCTTCCTCATATCTCACTTATTCCTTTGTTTTTCTACTACACTTTTGTGTTATCATGAAATCCCCAATTAATCTTGTAGATTACCTTTGGGAATTAACGCTTTATTAATTCCGCCTAGCCTCGGACACCAGGTAACAAATACGCGTGCAAGAAAAATTCGCCCCAAATCTCTGACGTATTCGTCAGTAATTGGGTTCTTTTCTCTCGATACATATTCATGTTTGGGCGAAAAGTAAACGTCAGTCTAAGCGGGAGCCGATCGGGTGAAGACGTGTTACTGTTCAAGGAGAGTTTGTACTAAAAACCGTGCTTGGTGTTGGAATGGGTTGAGGATAGGGACATTTCTCAACGTTGTTTCAAACGAAGGTAAGCTTTGTTGCTGGAAAATAGCTGGTTTTATTTCATTCCCCAAATTTTCTGAACACATGTTCTTTCGGTTCGGTTTAAGCTTTGTCTTTCTGTGTGCTGCTCTCAGTGCAGAAAAGTCATTAATTTTGTTTGTGATTTCGACGGAACGAACGCTAATGCTATGTTTTATGTTGAGAAAAAACATCTCAATTACGAGGTTTCGAAATAACGCAAAAAAGTTCAAAGCCCAGTACAATTCATGTGCAACGGAGCCACGTGGGTTTCATGTTTAGAATGATTGCTTCCGTACAAGCGTTAAAGAGCTATGTCGGTAACATTCCACAGAAACCTTTTAAAAGAATGACTTACATAAACTTCTTGTTACCGGCAATAACTTGATTTTGCGTCTGAAATTCCACTTACATATACTCGCGTTCCAACTCTTAATTGTCATTACAGTAGAGTTAAAAATTAGCCAACCGTCTAAATATTGTTTCGCTCATTTCTATTTACAGGAAATCTGGTGTCAAGAGGACGAAAAAGCAAAGAATTCAAGGATACAAAGTGGCTGGATTAACTAAATCGAGGAGAGACTCTCCAAAGATAAGAATTTTGAAATGATTTAAATAATTTTTGTAGTAATTTGCCGAATGGTACCTAAATTGCAGATTTACACACAGGTTGAGCCTTTGTAATTGGGAAGCCTAAAATTTGACGAATTTGATTGAAAACTTTTTAAAAAATCTCGAGGAACGGGGGCGGATCTAAGAATATCACCTGTTTGTTTGACCTTTTTACTAATTCAGTTCACGGTAACCGCAACAAGTTAATTTGGTATGACTAAATTTGGTTGCTCGAGATTTATCTTGTGTGTAGCCTGCAGCAGTTAGTACCATTTACACCGCACTGACTTAATTGTTATCGTGGATGTTTTAAGGTGGCAATGACTGAAAGACAACTGAAATACCAAAACAGGCATAGATTTTTCTGACATTATTCATAACAGACCAAAAAAATAATCGATGTACATCATGATTACAATTATTTCAAAGCTTAGTTGGCTCTTTTGTAAAAGCACATGAGGATTTGCCATAACCTAGTAGCAAATTTCTGCTTTTCTAAAACTAAAATTTTAAATTGGGCATTCTAGAAAAAAATTTTGTCGATACAAAAGTCAGTGCCACCCGAAAGGATCCACTGATATTCTTTAGTAACTTGCTTGCAAGGGACAAGAGAACACTGGCAACTAAAAATTTGTTATAAGATTCATTTTATTGGCATCAAGGCAGAGTTATTGACACCGACACTTAATCGCTTCGTTGACGATACCCTCAACCCCGTTCACGTTGGCATAAAAAACAGTGACATACTTATTACCAGAGACGCTATAGACTTGAACAAATCATATTTTACAATTTTACAAATCTGACACATAGCGACGGAACACATTACCAGTCATTCTACAAGCCAACAACATCACGCGAAGCTACGGCCTTCAAAAATCTAACGTGACGCAGACAACTTGTTTGAGACACGCTTGACATTTCCTTTGACAAATACAAATGCTGTGTGATCATTTTTTTTTCTTTTACTAACGTTGACCTAATACGACAAAACCGACTCACTTACCTTCATAAACCAGCTAAGACTTCTACTGCTACAAGACCGAACCAAGCATCAGAGGCACGTCCTAAAACAGACGTGACAACCAACATCCCTATAATATACGACTATTACTGACCACTGCTAAACTTCGGATATGAGAGAGACTGACACAACAGGACGTATATTGGATCCGAGACTGACTGACAACAAACGAGCGACGAGAAATGGCTTTGTCATCATGCTCGTTACCGGTTAATCATATCCATATAACGAATCAAACTACACATTCGATTGTTCCTTCTAAATTCAAACGTTTAGACTATGCAAGAGTTGTTCATGAAAAGACTAGTTGTTTGGTGGTGTTCATACGGAAGTCTCGCGTGTCTAAGTTCTCTTGTCATTTGCATGCAAGTTATGTTTACAAAACTTTAATGTCTGGTTCGGAGAATCCTAAGGACTTTCCGTGCAATAGCGTTGGTTTACAGTTATACAGACCACAAAATTGACCAATGTCAACATATCATTGCGCCAAACGAACGTTTGATCTACGAATAAGAGTTGAAATTTACTTAGAAGTTCCAAATCTGCGGATCAATTATTTTTTTTTTAGGACTGAAGGAAACTTCAAAACTAACAGAGATTAATCCTTCAATTCACAAAAAGCTGCGCCATTGTGACAGTAATAACAGCTCAAGTAAACATTTAAATCAAACGAAAGAATGTAGTGGAATCATCCACCGGTGTTCACTTCAGATTGTCTGGCAAGTTTTAAGTAAACAAAAAAGTTTCACGATTCAGTTTGCATTTCAAAATAGCAGCCAACTTAAAAGTCGTAATAATTTTATTTTCGTTTTCAAAAAAGCGCCTTTAATGGTGTTAAGAGAATATCAATTCGTGATGGTGCTTAAAAATCAACGTGAATTTCTTCAGAAAAGTTTCAAATACCATTACCTAAAGAGAACCGGTTTCTTTTTTTTTATTCACTAGAGAGTCCTCCATCAATCATTGGGTTTAAAAGCGAAGAACGGAATTGTTTTGCTTTTCATTTTGGTCTCGTTCTGTATAACTTGCTTCTGAACGTCACATATCGCGCAAAGTATGTATAACTAAAAGTATTCTTTGAACCAGTCATTGGGTTTTATCGTATTATTTTTAAATAAAGACAAACCTTTTTCAGCCTAAAAATTGATGAAACATTAGGACTAAAAGAAAGTTTAAATTGATATTCAAAGTTTAAATTACCGAATTTCTCGGTTCAAAATAAAATTTCACTCAACAAAAAGACCCTGTTACACTCAATCATTTCAAAAGATGTGCAGCCAAGAAATTACTTGATTGTATGAAGCAAAACGGCCGAAAAAAAAAACAAAAACAAAAAAAATACAGCCAACATGGTTATGTTATTTCTGAGGAGAGAAACGTTTTGAGATAATTGTGATTTCTTCAGACTAATTTGGTCACAAATTTTGATCAGATCATTTCAAATTTTTTACGTGCCAATTGGTAAAACAAAACAGTGGATGGCTGAAAAAGGTCTGGCTAGTGGCAACATGGCCAGCTTTAAGCCTTTCATAAGTCAAACATTGATTTACAAATGCTAAAACGTAGTTGTAGTCAACTAGGCGATTAAAGCTTGCCATGTTACTATTGATAAGAGCAGTAATGTGTAGATATCGTCTTGTGCAAATTTTTTGAAGACCAAAATGCCAGAGAAAATGAAAATGAAATGAAAATTTTTGCTTTATTTACCAAGACCACTAAAAATTCTATCAAAATGTACAAGAAATTAGAACGGAACACTATTTACCAATTTTTGATATAGAAATTTGCACAAGGTGATGTTCACATTTCTTTTGGCGGAAAAATTTAAGAGAAGTCATTTTGAATTTTTTTGCGAAAATGTTGTCAGGGGAAACTCTGTGCAAATTGCTTCAAATTTTCCCGCCAAAAGTCTTAGTATATATTTGAACGAATTTTTCTCGACACTTTTGATTATTTTATGGAAATTCACTTAACTAATTAAGAAATATTTGAAGAGAATAAAGAATTCAAACTTAAAAGACTGGTATTGTTTATTAGAATAAAATAAAGATTGCTAACAACATTGCAGTGTTTATTGACATTTATTGAAAAAGAGACACGCAACTTAAAAATATCCTTTATTTATACTATGCATGCGTTTCTAAGTTTTTTGGCGGGAAAATTACGCCAATTTAACCTGATGTTACTTACAGAATAACCAAATAAAAAATTTTGGAAAGGGTTCACCTTGAAAACAATTTCGAGCAGAAAATTGACAAATGCTTGACAGAATTTCTGATATCAAAATGAGCTAAACACTGTTGAAGAAATTCTAACCTCTCGCCGACAATACTTTAAAATAAAATCTGGTCAATTTGCTTTCCATCTTCGCTGTCCTCTTGTTTGTAGTGGTTTTACCGTTTGCGAGCAGATTTTGAAACTTAACCAGGGCGATCTTTGCTTCAATTATTTTGCGAATTAATTTGCCTGAAGAAAAATCTAGTTGCATTCGATTTTTACCTTTGCTGTAAACTTATCTCTCGCTTGCGTCTAATTCTTGCTTTTGTTCGAGTCTTGACGTGAAAAACTAAAGGGATGCATCCTTCGAGCTGCAAGAAAAGAACGGATGAAAAAAATCATTCCTAGCCCCTAAGCTTCGACATGTCGAACAATACGAACTGAACAACCAAAACGGTAAATCTGATCACAACAATATTTGAAAAAAAATGTGCACTTGTTTTCACGTGCAAAAGAATCAATAAAAGCAGTGTTCATGTCATATTTCTAAATACATCAGCCGGAACAAGAGTTTAGAATCTCTTGATCAGGAGAAAACCTTACAGTTTGTCCACCACAACAAAATTATAAATTGGGACTTTTTGAAGCTTCTAGTTGGTCTCTGGAAATCAATTTTAGATTTCAGAGAGACCGGAAGAATAGCAATTGAATGAAAATTACTTCTTGATTGATTGTCATAAAAAATCGCTTTTAACTTTCTAATATGATCACTTTTATTTACTGTACGTCATTCTTGCACGACGATATGAATTATTTGCCCGAAATTTCGGATGACGAGAAGAACAAATTATCTTGCGCATTTGTTATTTGCTTAGGAAAAGCTCTATTATTTTAAATTTCTTTCATTCTTTTATTCTCTTTCTGCCTTTTTTATTTGTCTCTTTGAAAATGTTTTTTTTGTTGGAAAATTCTATTGATTTTTCCAGCTCATAACATCTTGCTTTCCAACTGTGTCAATAATTTACGCACGAAAAACGAATAACTAACAACTCACATTACACGCTTAATGTGCAGAATATATTTCGGTATTCTTTGTCATATTAAAAATTTTCCTAACAATAGTGATAAATTGCTTGTTCGAATAAACTAACCAACCTACTGCTTGAAGAAAACTCCTCCTCAAAATCCTTTTAATTCTCCTCTCAGCAGACTTTTTATCTCCAGTTAATCTCCATCATGTCCGTGCCTGTCATTTGACTATAAAGAAATTAAAATTCCTTCTTAAATGATGAAGCTGGTCTTTTGAAAAATTAAATACTCATCACTCGTACCAAATACAATCGAACCTGTCTTAAGCGCTCAGTTTTCAAAGTTCCAAAATTTTTCTTCACGTCTATCAAGCGGCTGTGTTCACCCGTTATAATTACAAGTCCCAACGGCCTGTTTGTATTGTCTTTTACTTGTTTTAAACGGTAACTTGAGCATGCTTAGGTAGATCCACTAAAACAAACGAACAATAATCTCTCAAGTAAAATTTAATCCATGTTTGTCTCCCAAAATCAATGCCAGAAGCATATTCGAGCAAGTTTTTGTACTATCTATTCTGTGAAACTTGTATTAAACCTTTAACTCTCAGAAGTGATCAACATGAAACTTCTCCCCTTGATACCCTTACATTATCCAGCAAACAGGTAATGAGAATATTTAAACTTATCAGATAGAAGATGTTATCTTGATCTTACACCAAATTCTCGTAACTAATTTACCAGGCATTGTTTAGCCGCTAGAGGGGAGAATAAACAATCAGATCTTAGGAGTTAAAGGGTTAAGAGGTCGCCCCGCCATTCCCCGTGTGTGATCGCGGCTGCTACAAATTTCCCCGTAGATTAGTTACAAGAAGTCGGTGTTAGATCAAGAAAACAACATCTACCAGAAAGTTTGAGTACAATTTTGTCAGGTATCGTAACATAGTCTCGTTGCTCAAGGAATTAGAAAAGGCTAGTAAAAAAAATTTCAAATTAAATATTTTGTATCCAATCTCTCTTCTCATCAAGATAAATTAGAGAATAGTGATATCAATAAAACAAAAATATATTTCCACGGTGATGTGCGTCTGTTCAGTAATAGATCACAGATGACGTCAAAATGTGGTAAGAACGAAAAAATGACACACGAAGCGTAGCCGAATGCGTCAGTAATGTATCACTCGGCACCATTTGGCACCACTCGGTACCACTCGACAACATGGATTTTTTTATAGTTTTAGATGATAAACAATCGTCTGTCCTCTAATAGATCATGAGTAAGAACTAACCAAATACGTGCGTAATTAAGCTTTCCCTTGTATCACACCTTAAGATAACCATAACAGTTTAACGCATGTTTTGTTTGAATGACTTAGTCAAATTAAGATTTGAAGAAATATGCTATCCTTATAAGCTTTAAGTCTGGTCTTTAGCTAGTCCGTCTCCACTTCATGTTCACTACGTGAATACTTGCAAACTGACTGTACAAATTAAGGAAAGCGTCTTTGTTAGATGAATTAGCGGATCGTGGGGGAAAGTAGGTTTATTACACTTTGGTGTGGCCGGGAGTCCAACCAAATGGTATTTTCCTTTGCAATTAAGAATCCTCATTTCAAAATTCCCCAAACCGCGACAGAGTTATGCAGCGGTGGATTCGTAAAACAAGTCTTGAGGTTAGCCGTCAAAACAAAGTAAAAATGGTGGGTTTTACGAATTTATTTTTGACTTCCTTCATGTAAACTATCTGGTCTTTCTGCGGTGTAATAAATCCTTTAATGGCCAAGCTTGTACCTTATAGCTTGACACTAACCTGGCTCTTTTTGGCGCTTTTAGGAACCAAGACAGAAAATAACGAGACCAATATTCAGCTTTGTTATATTGCTGGCACGCCCGTGGGCAATATGAAGCGAATCCTTCGTTCTGATTGGCTTTCTGAACCGGCAAAATGGGCACATCTTGCTAGCTCAGGATTACCCCCTGTGATCCCGCGCAAGATAAGCATTGTGTGGGGCAGCGTGGAGCGGTCTTACAAAGTTTTTAATTTTTGTACATTGTCAGTGATAGAGACGCAAAGAGCGGCAGATTACAGTCAAAACAGAGGAAATATAAACGACTCTCGTGGCCGGGTTTTTTGTGCTACGAACAAAGCTGGCTTTCTTCCTGGCTCTCAACATAAACAAGTTATTCTTGATTCTTAATAACTATTTTTGTTATAGAGTAAATCTTTATTGACCAAGTTTGTTCGGTCAAGATGGCTGAGTATGAACCTCGTTTTTTCCGTTTTTTTTTTTAATGACCCTCTACTTCGCCCCGGTCTTTTGTCAATAGGGCATTTATGAAGCAATCACAACACATTCGTATTAAATATATATCAATTTAGTTTCAAGTTGCGATGAAAACAAGCCATCACTTGATAAGAAATAATCCTACCCCATCCCCCTCACCCTTCAAAAACAATTGACTATCCCACCCCCCCCCCCCCAAAATCGTGGACGAATAATTTCTTCCTACAAAACCTTCGAATGATGAGAAATTATTCGATAATAGTAAAATACACTAATTTTTCATCAAAGCAAGCTTTATAGATATAGCCTGATTAGATACCTTTCAAGCCTCGACTGTATTTTCCAACTTAACAAGTATTTGACCTTCCCAGTTCCACATGTTTGAGGTTATCGCTACAAGACTGTCTTCTTTTAAATCGTAAGTCCACCTCTTCTTGCGAAATTCTTGTACCAAACATTATCTCCTCTTCCAGGGTCAACAACGCTAACTTTGGCGCTGCCTTTGGTGAAGAACAACCATAAAACTATGCTACCTTCTTGGACTTGTTCGCCATGCTTGTTAGTTGTCGATAAAATGTGAATAATTCAATGCTAATTTTATGTAAAATATTCATATCAATATCAGTTGAGTTTCAGCGGGAATATCGTCACGTTCTTCTTTTGAAATGCAAATCATTGTGAAAATGCTTGTACTTTTAACGAACTGCAATAAATACTTAAGCTCAAAAAAACTCAGAGAATAAGAAAAATTGAGAATACGAAATGTTTAAAATAAGAGAGAAAAAGGAAGCTTGCCTGTTCATATCACGTGTAAAGAGCCATAGTGAACATAGCAGTGCGCACTTCTCACGTGATCGAAAATCAATATCAAGAGAATTGGAGTGAAACTTTTTCATACCAAAACTTTCGATAGGCAGAGACAAGTACCGTGAAGACGGGCCCTCTTTTAGGAAGCTACGTAAGTAACTATACTTTGAAACTTGATTGCATTCTAGACGGGAAAAATAGAAGTACTTTCCTCCTTTTTTAACACTCTTGATGTGGCCGCTTAGCGGTGACGGTTGGTTTGAAACTTTCCACCCAGTTTGTTCCATAACTTCTGGAAGAATTCTATCACAGAACTCAGATTCGTCACATTTTTTTCTCCGAATTCATGTCGTCAAAGCAACCAATGAGGCATTCAATATCGTCATCAGCATCCACCTCTATAACCTAGGTATTTGTGAAAAAGTCCAGGGAAATTCAAACAAACAGCCCTCTGCTCTACACGGAATGATGCTCAAAAACATGTTTCAGTGAAAAACGTTAAGGGCACAGGAAGAAAATGGGCTCTGATAAATATCTTTTTTCCCCTTTAGTGATCAAGTTCCTTTAACGTTTTAACTATCAGTTGCTTTGTTTGCCGTTTTTCACATTTTTCACATTTACGCCATAGGAACTCGTTTACAGGCTATCAACCCTGTACCTCTATAAGGAGGCATCTTCACAGGCTACCCACTCCTGGTGAATGATGAAAAGCCCTAGAAAATTAATCCTCTTTTTCACTCAATAAATTAAGACAATACCACAATAAATATTTCTTTATTCAAAATCGACGACATAATTAAATATTTTCTGTGATTCTATATTTACCATTCTTTTAATATAAACATCGTGTCTTTCTAATTGACCACGTAAAAATAAAATTCAACTGGTGAATTGACTCAACATCTTTTAGACTTCAAGATTTCTTTCCTCAAAGTGCCGAGATAAGATTCCAACTGAACTTCAGAGAAACGCATATAAAATCTGCTCCATCTGTATTTCAGCATAGAATATGACGGTATCAGAAATTCGTTATCGTGAAGTACACTTTATGTCGCCTTAAGGCTATCTTAATAAAAGCGATTCTCAACTGTCCCAAAACATCAGCAATGAGTTAAATTAACTTCGCTCGGTGACTGGCTTGAAATAATCGCGATCGTTGATCTACCGATCAGACCAAATAACATCCAGGTCTTTTCCCCTTCGTCTGGCAACGCGCTTCCGTAGGTTTAAAATGACCGCTGGCTGATGTATTCCTGAGTTGAGGCCTTCATGTTAGCACGTTCAATTGAAAACCGCTTTTAGTTATATTTCAAAAACACACAAAACAAATCATGCGATTCTAGGGCATGGTATCTTGCATATATCACTGAAAATAGTAACATTGGATAAAAAGCGAAAAATTGGTATCAAATTTGTAGTCAGCTAAGATCTAATCCTTTGAAATGAAGAATTATCCCCAATTTCAAATCTCGCAAAAAGGTAAGATCTTTCTCTACTGTAAAATAGAGCTTGAAATCTTCACGTGACGAACCAACAATGAGTCAACTCGATAAAAACGTTTCATCTGCCAAATTTTGCCAAAGCTTGATGAGTAAAGCCTACTTTAAATTCGGCAGTAAAATTAAGTTTCTTGATCGTAAAAGACTATGTATAACCAATGATTTTCTTCGCAAATGTAATTTCTGTGTGCAAAATTCAAATTTCAAATCAAAATAGAAAATATATTTCTTGAAAACCACAAATTTGGGAACGATCCTTTGAGAACTTGAATGCACAAGCGCTTGCATCTAGCTTAAATTACTACTAATAATTTTTTGATTCTTTGAATCTAAAGCCTGAATTGTCTCTTTTACGCTCTGACAAGCCTGATTTTCTTTGTCCTGGTTGTCGATAAGTTCTCCGCAGGATTTCTCTTTGAGTTCACCCTGGTGAATTATTTCAGAGGAAAACACTACTTCTGGGCACAGTCTTTTTTCTTCACGTTTCTGCTTGTTGTGAAAGGGACTCCAGTCGCGAGGAAGAGAAGACGAACCCGAATATTCCGCAACTTTTTCCTTGAACTGAATAGTATAACCGACTTCACGAACGGAACCCGACCAAACAGGCTGGGTTACATCCGAAACCGACCGACGACGCATAGTAGGCTTCTCGGACGCACGAAACACCTTCGACATCGATTTGTGCCGACGGAGCGAGTTAGTTTGATTTTCACTGTCTCCATCGTCTTTTTGAATGTCCTGGTCAGACCGTCCCATGATAGCTTCGAAAATTTGCGTTCTCTGGCGAACGTTTGCATATTCCCAGTCAACAGGCTGCTCCTTCTCCAATTCGAGGTTTTCTTTTTCTACAACCAAGTTCTCCTGGGCTTTGGTGAGAGCCTTGTCAACAGCCGTGTCACTCAGGACTTCCATTTTCTCTTCGCTACCTGCATCCGCCGCACCATCTTCCGTAGTTTCGTCTGAGCAGGAACGAGGGACTATAACAACTTTCGGCGATTGCTCGCTACACTTCGCATCCTCTTCTTTAGAAGATTGCCTTTTGATCTTGTCCTCATCGTGTGCTACACGAATGATTCCTTCTAAATGCTGAGTCTGTTGCCTAACTTTCACAACACTTGAAGTATCCACGCCCAATTCGTTTTGCTCCTTTTCTTGTAACTGATCTTCGTCACCATCGTACTCAACCTTCAGATCACTTCCTTGGAAACCTTCTCCTCCACTGGTTTCAACCGTCGCAATCTCGTTGCCCGACAACTCCTGCTCTTGCTCTTCTTTGGGTTCCACCACTGGAATATGGAGTTTTTCCTCAATGCGCTGTTTTTGTCGCTTTACCAAACCAGCCGCAGTTTTGTTGTTCTGTTCATCTTCGTCCCACTGATCACTCGTGTGATCACCAGGCTCCTCGATTTGATACCGCAACTGATCTTCACTTTCAACTAATTGACTCTCAAGAGCAACGTCACCATCTCTCACTTCTTTCTCGACACCTTTGTCCAACTGTTGATCAAGAGGTTGTATTTTCCCCTCGATCAAAAGCGTATGGCGCTTGACTAAACCTTTCTTAGGAATGTTCTCCGTGTCCTGTTCACTCCTTTTGTCTTCTGTAGCCTCGAACATGTCGGATAATTTTCTTCCTTCAACTGCTGGTTCCACACCGATAGTTGCATCGTGTGCAACTCCCAGGTCTGGCTGATCTCGATCTTTGTCCACGTCACCTTCCCATTGCGACACTTCCTTGTCTTTGGTGATTTCACTTTCTCTTCCGGGTTCTTTCACGCCTTCTTGACCCAGCTCTTGCTCCAATGGCTGAAGCTTCCCTTCTATCAACAGCGTATGTCGTTTCACCAGGCCCTTAGCGGGTATATCTGTTGTAACCTCATCACTCCGTGTATCTTTACTCTCCTTTGATGATTCCGAAATTTCTGCTTTTACTGGGCTCATCTGATCTGTTGACTCGACGCTCGGACTCAAAGTACTCCCGATGCACGTCTCTTCCGGTGATGTATCACAAACTTCACTTTTTATCAACTCTTTTTCCATTTCTCTGTCGTCTGAGCCTGCACTTTCCTTTTCCTCTTGAGAATCGCGTTCCTTCTCTGACTCGTGCTCGGGTTGCTGCAGTTTCCCCTCAATCAGAAGTGTGTGCCGTTTCACAAGACCTCTCTGCAACACATTTTCGACATCTTCTCCCCCATCCGTGTCACTGACTGATGTTTCAGCTACATTCGTGATTTTCGAGTCACTCTTGAAAGCGACAAGTTGCCTGGGCTCGGTAGATGTTCCTGTAACACTGGAACTTTTACACAGCAGTTCCTGTTTGTCTTTCATTGTGTTACTCTCAACGATGCGCGTATCACTGATTTCCTCAGATCGTGCATCATCGAACACAGAGCTGTCGGTGCTAGCGTCCGAAGGTTCGTTTTCGACACTATTTAGTGCCTCTTTCATTTGTTCCCCTGCTTGCTGAACAAACACTCTTAGCTCTTGTTCTTTCTTTGAGGCTGAAATTCTCCGAGCAGACACGGTCTTTTTCATATCCTCGTTCACCTTCTGAACCAGTGCCTCTACGTTAACACCATGGACGCGCCTGCACTCCTCCCCTTCTTGAAATTGCAATGAAGACGAATCATTGTCCGCAACTGAGACTCCTTCCATTTCGTTTCCTTCATGATTAACACTTTTTGCTTCCTCACTTCCGCCACGCTGGAGTAACGCTCGTCTCGTTAAACTCTCTCGATGTTTCAATTCAAAACCCTCTTTATGTTTTCGAACTACACCGGGTTCAGGTTCTTCGCTTTGGATAGTTTGCTCCTCTGCATCTTCTGTGATTTTATCACTTTCTTCTACTGCCTTTGAAAGTTCAACAGCGGATTCTTCTTGCGCCGCAGAGCCGGCATCATCAAACAACGTCACAGATGGCACAAAAGGGACGCCTTCTTCAAATTTTCTCGAATGGCGTTTCACAAAACCGCTTTCAACTACACCATCTAAATCCCTTGGCAAGCTTCCGTGTGGTTTGTTTCCCAGAGAACTAAGATCTCCAATGCATTCCTTATTCTTACTTTCCTCCAAGTTGAGAATTTCCCTCTTTTTACGCTCGAATCCTTTTAAATTCTCGTCGCTGGCGGACTTAGCTTTCGCGTCATTCTGAAGAAGTTGCAATTTTCTGGGACCACGCTCTCGTAAGGAGCACGATCTACGAAATTTTCCTGTAGACTCGCTGTCTGACTCCTGTCCCTTGTGGTCACCATTTGATAAAGAAGGTACTGAACTTACTCGCTGTAACGAACTCTTCTGAACAATTTCCGAAACTTTCAAACTTCCTCGCACAGAATTTGTCCCCGTAGGTTCTTCTTCCCCGGAATCAACCATCAAATTTGAGCCCAAGGCGGTTGATGGACTAGGCGCGGGCACAATATCCACATCGCTACCCTCCTGCGTGGCGCCTTCGGACGTTAAAACATTATCAGCATTCACCATAGTAGCCTCAGCAACGCTAGCTATTTTCTCGAAAGGTAATGCTCCCTCTTTTAAGTTTGAATCGCTTTCACATTCCTCTGAAAAATTGTTCTGAGTGACCGTAACTTCTTGTTGGACAGCAACATTCGATTGTTCCTCCTTTTTCCGTTTCTGCACAGCTCCTACGGCACTCTTGGACAGCTCCTCTGCATCGGATGAGAATGAATCATGTCTGAAAATTTTGTTGTAGCGATGTTTGCTGAGGGAGAAAAAATATTGCACATTTAAAAATATGTATCTACAGTCGTGATATCAAGTCATCATATCTGCCACAAAAGACCTGAAGAATTATAATAGAAGGGCATACTACAATTCGGGCACCTTTTTTACCAAGGAGCAAAAAGGCAGTGATATTCCTATCGTTTGATTAAACACGAAATTCTCAGAACTAACATAAAAAGAAATTTATGGGTAGCGGAAAGGAAAATTAATACTGAGATACTGGCGGTGAAAGAGTACAGGAAAGTTAAAATGAAGTTTGAAAGCCTCTTAAAGCCTCCGCATAGCAAAAATGATTTTCACTACCCTGTCTACTGCGCAAGAGGAGAGTTACCTCGAATTTAAAATTCCCTCGTAAGTGATAAGCTGCTTCCAAAATCCCGCATTCGGTTGAACAACATTTCTTCGCGCCTTGACGTACTTCATAGTGTCACCTAAAGACCAACCATATTCTTTCATGCCGTAAGCGATAACCTGAGAAACAAAAATACAGACAGCTAAATCAATATTACGTCGGCTGGTCAGCTGGTCGTGACACTCGGTCTCTCCCGAAGTAGATTGTCGGTAGCTCGGTCAAACGATTGGTTGGTTGATTAATGACTCAGTGTCAAGTTAGTGCCCGCTCTGCCTGTCTGTCAGTCTGTCTGTCTGCCCGTCAATCAACCAGTCTGTCAGTCTGTCTGTCAGTCATTCAATCAGACAGTCAGTCAGCCAACCATTCAGTCAGTCAATCAGTCTGTCCGTCATTCATTCAATCACTTAGTCAGCCAATCAGTCACTGAGTCATTCACTCAGTCTGTCAGTTATTCAGTTAGTCATTTAGTCAGTCAGCCAATCAGTCAGTTAGATAGTCCGTCTGTCAGCCAGTCAATCAATCAGTCTGTCTGTAAGTCAGTCAGTTGGTCACTCAATCAGCCAATCAGTTAGTCAGACAGTTAGTCAGTCATTCAGTCGGTGGGTCAGTCAGTCCGTCTGTCTGTCACTCGCTCAACCAGTAAGTCAGTCTGTCATTCAATAACAGCGTCGACCAATCAGTCATAAATAAAGCAGGAAAGTAGAGACGCCGAAGCCTCGACGGAAAAGAAAATAAAGGGAATAGTAAACATGCCAAAAGTCTATCTTGTTTAAATTGCAAGCAGTCCCTTGAATACAAAGAGACAAACCTCGGACTTAACTCAGCATTCGATACAACATCTTTACAAAAAAAAATGAAGCTTACGGTTGATGCTGATCTGCTTATTCCCATTCTACAATGCACAAGAACTTTCGAACCTGCATTTCTGAAAACCAAGCATGAAAAAAGAAAAGAAAGAAAAATCAATTACATGTCAGGAGCACATTTCCGCGTTTGACTACAACTGGTGTTTGATGCGCCTCGAAAAAAAACCAATTTGTCTTTTCGCGCCTAGTGCAAACTTCATAATCTTTATATTTTAACTTAAGCTACAACGTTTTTCGCTACACGTTTTTCCCACGCTTACGCACACTGTTTTGATGGCAGGCTGAACCAAGAATCCCGTTAACGTTTACTTGAAATTGTTTTTCCGGTGCATATGCTCGGCTCTCTAACTGACCAAGTAATTCTCCTTACTATCTGCCATACAATCCTTATTGTATCAGTTCGGGGAATTTAGTATTGGATCAACCACTAATTCTTCATTTAATATTTTTCTTTATTCTCATCACTTATCTGCTTTGTATTGTATTGATAACGTAAGGAGAAATTAGATGTCTTGGCAACTCATGGGAGCTCTAGGGTTAACATCACCCGGCAGGAGTCAGTTGTAAACAGGCACTGGAATCATTACTTACTTGGCCATCTGTATGAACTTGTAAGTGTAATCCCAATGATGAAGTAATTCGGTGTCGTCCAAATCGTAAACTCTGAAATGATGAGAAAAGAGGAGAAAAATCAATAACAAAAAAAAGTAACGGAGAGGAGTCTCACTTCACTTCTTATTTAATTTTCACTGCTGAAGCAAATTCATTACAAAATGTACGCGTTTCCTCAATATAAACCTGGTAAGGTGAGGACAATTTTTGTTCATCTCATCTATTCATTTATTTATCAAGGTTTCAATAATTGTCCATGGTCGCAGTGTAAAGTTTTCAGTAGATTGTTATCATTTTCTCGTTGACATTCCTGTAATTGTGAGAATAACTATCGTTCTCACAGAGTTGCAGGACAACAGTACATCATACTGATTAAGAGTGCATTCAGCAAATTGACAGACTTAAAACTGGTGACACACACCTGATGTTATGATAATGGAATGTCCCCGGAAAAAAGTTATCAATCTCTCTTGTGATGTTCAAGATGTATCCAATTCTGCAAAATCAAAAATATTTTCAACGAGTTACAAACAAAAATATCACAACGAGTGCATGGTTCTTGCGTTTGTCATTTCTCACACTAACAACCACGGGTCACTCATGAAAATTTGTAGTGTTTTTTTATCAATTCATTGTAATTTTTGCCTTAGAACTTCATCAACAATTATATGTACTGTGCTTAATTGTATGGGTAAAATGCTGGTCATGAACCTTTGACTCCAAAGATTGAGAGCTGGCTAAATTCTCCTCCTAATTAGAATGCAAAGTCAAAATAAACAGGTGAAATATAAAAAGAGAAATATCAGCTCTGTTTCCATAAATCATAAAAGCTTCAGAAATAGGCAAAGAACATGTGTGATTATCAGTTGGGAGAGTCAAGGGAGCTGGAAGAGGAATACTAGCCCCCCTCGGCCTCCCCCCTCCCCCCCCCCCCAAAAAAAACAAAACAAAACAAAAACAAAAACAAATCTTAGAAAGGCTCAATCCTCCCTTTGTTCTGAAAAAGAAAGTATCACTAGGGTGGTATAAATATTTCATGGCTTAATCTCCAGTCTCATGATCTTTTCATAAATTGTTCAACCAGGATTGCAATTGGCAAACAATAACCTCCTTGTGCATTGTTCCAATTAGTTTTTAGATTTATTGGGCAGTACTAAGATTGCAAAGAGGTTTGCATGTGCCAACCAGATCCAGATAAGCAAATGATATTTTGGGAAATTCAAGAAACGACATGCACTCGGTTTGGGGTAAGAAAATCAGACCTTCGCCTTGCATTTCAAAACGATGCACCCCCTTCAAATTACTTACCCATTTTCTTTAAGTTCTTCCAAGTTTGAAGCATTCCACTCAGAGCCCTACACAAAAAGAAAGGTGTTATGGTGACAGATATCTTCACTTTCATCAATCACCAAAAGAAATAAGGATCTGATATTTACTTACCAGGTAAACATGATCAAATATTTTGGATGCAGAGTCCATTTGTCCTAAAATGGTTATCATTTCTTCATCAATAAAAGATCTGTACTCCTTGAGTTCCATTTGTGTTTCCTCTTCAAGTATATTCCTTATCTTTAAAGATTGAGACACAAATGAAGAAATACATCACCAACAAGAACCTTGACATACATAAATATCATAAACTGAAATAATAACTCAACAGCAATGACAAATGGGCCATGTTGTTCAAAATGTGGGTACTTCTCAACCCTTTAAGTCCCAGAAGTTAATTAACATGGAACTTCTTTTTATAATATCCATAAATAATCCAGTAAACAGATAATGAGAAAACTCTACCTTAAATATCACACAGAAGTTGTTACTTTGATCTAACATCAATTTCATAACTTCAAATGTAATTTCTATGAAAATGTGTTGCTACTTGAGGGGAAAATTAATAATCAGATATTTTGAGTTATATAGATTGTCATATCACAAAAATTGTGAACTACAGTACAAGCCAATCAACTTTCATCAAAATTATAATTATAGTCATGAAAATAGATTATTTAACCATTTAATTCCAAGACCTGATTGCTAATGATGGTTAATTCACCCTTTTAGCTGCTAGATGTACACTTTCCTTGTGATTTAGTTATGAGAATTTGGTGAAAGGCCAAGACAACAACTTCTACCTGATTAGTTTAAGCATTCTCATTACCTATTTGCTGGATGATGTATGCAGGGCGTGAAATTAACTTTTTTTTCTGATAGCCACTTGGCTCCTAAATTCTTCAAAGTGGTAGCCAATTCAAAAAAAGTTGGTCGCCATTTTCAAAGACAAACAAAATCTTTCTTTACGCTGTCAGCGTTCTAGATAGACCCTCCAAAATTAAGTTAGGGAAAAGATCTTTAACGTGCTACAAAGTGGACACTAGGATGGATGATATACAACTTTCAGGCTCATCTAAATCCAAGATGGCCTCTAGTTATCAATCGAGATGCATGTGCTACGTTTTGGAAACAAACTTAACGAGGAAGTTTGCCGCGGTTTTTTTTGGCAAATCTTTTTAATTCACTATATCTCTTGGTAAGGTTATGATGAAAGGTTCTAGTCGCCAATTTGGCGACTAACTTTCAGGATTTGGTTGCCAAAGTGAAAAATTTAGTCGCATTGGCGCCTGTATTAGGCGCAATTTCACGCCCTGGTATGGATATTACTAATAGTGAGAAGTTACTTTTTAATCACTCCTGGAAGCTAAAGAGTTGACACCAAAAGGCCTCAAATTGAGACTGGCAACTTTTTTAACTTTCAAGTACAAAAGACAGTGTTTACTGAAAGAGTGTACTTGATCAAGACAGAGTACTTTGTCACAGGAAAAAACAAAGTTGCTTCATAAGTTTTAATCAAAATAGTTGCACAATTGGTACTCAAAGATAAGTGTACTTTTCTTAACCACACAGCACTTCATATGAGCACTTGTCACTACACATACTTTGTCAAAAGTGACCTCTCATTCTCTCATCTATAAAATAAGCAGAAGGGAAGGGAGGCACTTGAAGAAAATTTTGGCAGATAGAGCAACATTTTTATTTCAGAAATCAAAGTTGTTGGTTCCCTCTGTACCTGTCTACAAGTGACTTCCTCAAGGTCAACTCTTGTCATAACCTTTAATGATAAAAAGAATAATAGTGAGATAACTGAAGACCAGTATTTTAACCCTTTAACTCCCAAGATCTCATTAGTAATTCTCCTTACTGTCTGCCATACAGTTCTTGTAATGTTTGTTTGGAGAATTTGGTATTGGATCAACTTATATTCCCTTAATTTATATTTTTCTTTATTCTCATCACTTGTCTGCTTGATATTGTATTAATATTATGAGGAGAAATTCTGTCTTGGTTACTTGTGGGAGTTAAAGAGTTAACAGAAACAGGCAAATTTTATAAAAAACAGAACACATATTTAAATATGTTGTGTGTGACAGTACCAACCTCCTTCAGCTTGTGGCGAATAAGTTTCATAACAAGTTCCTTTTCTGTGCTGCAATTTTAATACAAAATTATTAGACTATTCAAAATATGCCTTTATGACACCACAACATGTCACAAATATATTGAACTACTGTACATACGTTGTGCCAATTGGTGAATCTGGACGTTTTGATTCAAGTTCATCCATTTGCTGCCTATAACACAAGATTAGAATAAGTATGTAAGGTATAAATCAACTTCCTTTTTTTTTTCTTTTTCAGAAAATATACTTCTTTTAAGTTGTTTTTCTCTTGATATGGAATGGGAGTTTAGGGTGTAGAGTGAGTAAGATAAAATAATTATGGAAAAGTGTGTCATGCTGGAGAAGAAAAACAAACATTTTTGCAGTCTAGACTCAAATAAGAATCATACTTTTGCTTTCCCTTTACCCTGACAGGATGCTACAAAAACAAATTAATTGCAAGAAGGAAGTTGGAAAACAATAAAGAGAGACTTTTGAGTCAGCGTTGTAGAGCCTAAAAAAATGTCACAACAGCCTAAGAGAAGAGCAAAATGTCCCCCAGGCCAATACAGATATAAATTAAAATGCATGTAAAACTGCCTCCAGTAACACTGCCTAGCTCAAGTAACAAATGGCTATTTAGGTGTTACACCCTAACATCAGTATGCATATACTCCTTAAAGTTCTCTATACATTTCCTGGGTAAATGACAAGGAGAATTTGTATACCAACCAGGAGCAATCATTTTTTTTTATTCTCATGACCTTAATGTTTAACTCAATAGTGACAATTTAAGGAGAAATTAATTGCCTGTCACTCTCATAGGTGAAAGAATTAGGCTTGTCACTAAAAGAAAAAGGATCTTTACCAGACTGGACTATCACATAGACATCATGTTTGACTTGGAAGAAGAAGCTAGGATCAATGTCAGTATCTGAGCAACTGTGCACCTACCTACCCCTTCCCTTACCCAACAGTAACCCTAACTTGTTATCAAGAGACTGTTGCAGGGCTAGGGGAGGGGTAGATGGGCAGTTGCTGAGATGCTGACATTGATCCAAAAGCTAAACTCAGTCTAACTTCAAACTTACCATTCATTAATACACACTCTGTCTGATGATATCTTTCTGTAGTAATAATCAACCCAGGCATGAGATGCACAGTTAGTGTAATAGTAATTGTGCTTCCTAGCATTGTCACTGCACTTGTGGATCCACTGCAGGGCTGTCCTGGAAAATTACAGAAAATAACATTTACTGAATACTGGGCTAAAACATAAGTAAAAGCTCATGAAGAAGAAGAGCTGGAGTATAATGAGTTGATCAATGAAAAAGCTTCATCATTTCCCCACACAACCCCCTGGCATTTGAACTTTTGAAGATTGGTTTATTCAAATTCCCACCCCGTCAGGCAAGAATTGTGTTCAAATGCTGCACCCAGCTTTTTTTTGTAAAAGGCAAAATCAGCGATGGTGACTTTCTACACATTGACCAAACTTTAAAACCTAGACCTTCTGGACTATTTCTTCTGAGCCATTTGCTTGCAAAACTGAATTAATCACCTTCAACACCTCCATAATTACATATATAACAATTGTATTCTGCAACAAAGACTTGACACTTCCAGTTCAAATTCCCCACCCCAGCCAGGCATGGTTCAAATTACCCACCCCCTAGGTGTGGATGATGGTCCAACTGCCATGGTTTGCCCATGAGCTGGGGGGGAAGGTGAATTTTTGACTTAATCCACCTATAACTACACTGTAGTTATAAGTTGCTCTCAGAAGAGAAATGTGTTCTACACTATTATATGATAAGCTAAATTATACATGCATTTTGATGGTTCTTACTTATGATCTGTTGAAGAACAGACATATAGATGACATTACCATTATCAACATGACAAATTTACCAACTTACCACATGGTTTGCACAGAAATGGGCTTGAAAATGAATGTCTTCTCTGCTGATGTCATTTTAAACCCACTAACAAATTGAAACCAAAAGTATGTCAATTTAGTCTTAAAATTACATGTACATGGCTATTAATATTTTAAAACATGTACACTGTTTATACCAAATGTTCTCCTACAGCAGATGTAAGGGCAAAACACAGCCATACTACCCCTTGCAAAGAGTTTCTTTTATAAGAGCATGAAACTTGTACTCTTAGGTTTCTAAGTCAAAAGACAACATGTGAGGGCATGGGCATGCAAGTGTACTCTTTTAGCAGTTAAACCAGGTCAAGCCTACCCTTAAATCTTTGCAGTTATTGAAAATTTGAATATATTGGAAGCAATAGACTGAAATAAACACAAGCCTGCTTTGATAAAATTTTGACTTAAAAGAAAGTGCCCATCATATGTGCAACAATAGTTAATATTCCTTTTGATACCAGAAGAGATATATGTGGTGTAATAAAGTAATAAATAATTTTGGAAACATTTAGCCCTATGGAATGATAAGGACTTCGATTATTTTATAGTTTGACTGCCATGTAGAGAAAGAAAAAGAATGGGCAACAGTAATTGCTGCTTGAATGCTTCTTCCACTTACCCATCACCATCTAACTTTATGACTGTATCTCTGTAGAGAGGAACAACCAAACCAATGGTGGCACTAGGAAAAACAAATTAGATAATTTACGTAACCATTTAACTCCTAGAAGTGATTAAAATGTAACTTCTCCTTACAATATCCATACATAATTAAGCAAACAGGTAAAGAGAATACTCAAACTTAGACAAGTAGGAGTTGTTATCTTGATCTCCATGTATCATCAAATTCTCGTAACTGATTTACAAAGGAATGAGTAGAAGCTGGAGGGGAGAATTTACAACCACATCTTCACAGTTAAAGGGTTATTACCAAAGTGAATTTAGTACACTTTCAATCAGAGCAGGGATATGTGAACTGCTGCAATTAATCAAAAGGGCAGTAACATGTATTTTCATAAAAACTTTAAAAAGGTTTTTCATGTCCCAGCTGGACATAAATGCAAATTTTTCTTGTAATGCAGCATTTCCTCTCAAGCTATTACATAGCAGGTGTACCATTTAGACAAATCAGATCCTTGAGTTTTGACAGCAGCATAGTCAGTAAGTAATGCCTTTATACGGGCCCAAGTGGCCCATGGGGCTGGTGCTTAACTCCAGTTTTCTTAGCATGAAGCAGCTAGGAGTATTGCTACTCCCCCCTGGATGGGATGCTAGTCCATTGCAGGGTTACCCCCAGCACATTTGCTGGTACCCATTTGTACACCTGGGTGAGAGTAAAGTGTCTTGCCAAAGAACACAACACAATGACCCTGGCCAGGGCTTGAACCCGGACCACCCGATCCGGAGTCTAGCGCACTAATTGTGAGGCCACCGTGCCTCTTACAGCATAGTCAGTACTCACTATTTCTACTAAGGAGGGGAGAGGAGGCAGTGCTTTTCTCTGACTTTCTTTCAATTCTACCTTATCCAAAATCAGAGAACCTCATGGCTCCAACTGACTGATACAAAACCAAGTCAAACCAGAAGCCAACCTCTAAATGTACCTCTGCCTTCTTCCGTGAAGTCTTTCAAGTGGAATGAAGAGTTCAATTTCCCAGGATTTTATTTTTATGCTAAATGATGCATGTCACAAGGAATAAGTTGAGGGCATGAACAAAAACAGCACTTTTGACTGCATGCAATTTGAGTTATGAATGTATGTGAGGAGTCTGGAGAGCATGAGAAAAGTGTAAGAGGTACTTGAGGCACAGCTAAGAGCAACTCTAGCTTTTTCAGTGCTGTCTAAACTTCCCATGTAAGTAGAAATAAGAGAGATAGTAAGTTTTGAGCTTGGTAAAAAAATAGAGAAAGATGTTTTTGTCTGTCATGATTGTGGGACATAGAAAAAATTCTGAGTCCCCATGAGGAATCTATCTACAAAAAAACCCGCTATTGACATTGCTGATCCTAGCAGTATGCAGGACACATGTCACATGAACTTCATAATAGCCCTCGCTCACTGTGGAGTCTCTGAGGCTCAGTGGTAGAGCATCGGAGCACGGAATGTAAAGATCTGAGGTTTGATTCTTCATGAGGACTCTGAATCTTTTCTTTGTCCCACACTTGTGACAAGACGAAAACATCTTTATCTATTCCCAAGTAAGATTTGAAACCTCAAAGCATTCATGCACATCAAGATAAACAGCATACTGGCTCATTAACAATTAGGCAGGACCTAAGTGCATCATGTTTTACTTATATTTACTTGTCAGTCCAATCCACTCCCACGATAATACTCTGCTCTTCTTCATCTGGACCAAATGCCGACACAATTGTTAAATAGCGAATTCTGTTTGGATACTGGCACTCCAGTTTGATAACCTGGTTACAGAAATAAAAACGAAAATATCAAACAACTTAACTTTACTGTAACTGAGAATATAAAGAAAGATCTTCTTGTCATTAGCAAAGCATAATTTATAATTTTCCATCTAAGCATGATTACTCAAGTTACATTTGTACCAGTATTGTATTTTGTAAAAATAATTTTACTTTTTTGTGAGATCTCAACAGTGATTATTATTTAATTGTGCTGGATATATTCCTAGCTAGTTCCTTCATTCTTGTGATTTGAGAGAGGAAATTTCCTTAAACCCTAACATCATTATGCATATTCTCCATACTGTTCTCTGTACATTTCCAATGTTCTAACAAGGAGAATTTGTAAAACCATCAAGAGCTTCATTAGAAGCTGATCATTTTCTTTATTCTTGTGACTTAACCCTTTAACTCCCAAGATCTGCTTGTTAATTCTCTCCTCTTGCTGCTACACAATTCCTTGTGAATTAGCCACGAGAATTCGATGTAAGATCAAGATAAAAACTTCTTCCTGATAAGTTTTAGTATTCTCATTGACTGTTTTCTAGAAAAGGAATGGCTATTATAGGGAGAAGTTACATGTTAGTCACTTCTGGTAGTTAAAGGGCTTAAGATTTTACTAAGGGTTAAAATCATAAGAAGAAATTAGAGGTGCTCAAAAGTTAAAAAGTGTACGAGCAAGTCAATCAAAATTTTAGTCTTACAAGTCTAAGCACATCTTCATCCCGCAGTAAGTTCACCATGGCTTGCAGATGCAATTGCATCTCTCCTACAATGGAAATACATTTTAATTTGATCAGTGCTGCCCTGGTTGTGATTTAAATAAATGAATTATTAACAAAACATCAAAATATACATTGAAATATGGAAACATTGCTGTCTAATAAAAAAATGCTCATAAATTTCTGATTGGTTTTTGAATCAATCTTTCAAACAATGCACTGATATTTTAGTAAAATAAACATCATTTTGCATTGACCAGATTGTTTGCCATTCATTTCTAACAAATTTAGATCTGAGAATTTGGTGTTAAATCACACAACATTCTCTACGAATAATTCCTTTCCCTTCTCATCACTTTTCTGCTTGAAACGTATTGATTTTAAAAGGGAAAGTTACTTTTGGTTGTTCCTAGGGGACACATGATTTATTTTTCAGAATTTCAGTTCAAGACAAAACTCACCTCCGTGCTTTGTGGCCCGGCGAGCAAAGTCTCCATCAGGAAGGGCATATGCTGCTCCTTTAGATGCAAAGAATCCTTCAAAGCTTGACCTGAAAAAAATTTTTAAGGTGAATGACTTTATAAGCTAATTAACAAAGTCACTTGAAAAGGCTCAGCCTTGAAAAACCTTGGCTTCATGAGGGCTCTCCAAACTCTCCATATCTCAATGAATGCACAGGTAATTCACAAACATATTGTTTTATGACATTTTCAACCCCATATTATTTTACTTTCAACCAAAAATTTCCTCTGCGATGCTTCAATGCAAACAAATGACAATGACCAGCAGGACTAACCAAAACCTATTTTACATTATAGACACACATCATTAGCCTCAAAAGAAAATTGGTAGCATGCCCATGTAAGTGAATTTGAATACACAAATGTACTAATGACCTATTGTAAGACTAACTTTTCATATTTCCAACTGTTAAGCTGTGTCTCATGTAAAGTAAAGCAAAATAAATTACATGCTAATCTGTTGGGTATTAATAACGTCTGACCATGAGAGCGAAGTATTATGAATGCTTCATGGCATAAGGATTATGAATGCTACAGTAGCCACAATATCTGTTATTCCTAACAGAAGATAATTACATGCATCAGCCCTCAGCTGTGGATCCAAAGTCAACACAATAGTCTGAAATAATGCTACAGAAACATCATGAAAACTCAACAGGTGCCTCGGTCAATGTTGGAGCCATGCAGGCAACAAGGTGTTTCGTAGAAAGCCTAGCACACTTCTGCTTTACAGAAAACATATCAACAGTTGAAAAGTAGCAAACTATTGAAAGATATCTGAACTAAACGATTACAGAAAATGATCAAATGAATAGAAACCCTCTAATAGGAAAATGCATCTAAATAAGTATTACCAACTGAGAACAGGGAAATAAATTACTTGTTATTAAAAGCGTTTAGTACAGGCTTTGGCACCTATCATAATAGAGAGGATTAAAATAAAAAAAAAGGTGTTAATGTGTAGACTGATTTGATTCTGACATACAGTACACACAGTTTCTTTTGTATGCCCAACACAAATTATAGTTTTAACTGCTCACAAAATACAATTTTGACATAGAGGTGATTAATAAAATATTGGTTCTTTCACTGTGAAAGCCTGTTGGAGAGTGGTATGGAAGTTTCTCAAATTAACACAGGGTCCCATACTGTTCTAAGAAAAACAATGTAAATAAGGCCACATTTTGTAACCAGTTTTTGACCTAAGGAACTAATTTTTACCCAATATCAAGTAGCTGAAAAGTTGTCCACGAAAACCTAAAACCAAAGGCTTAAGTGCTTCCTCAAAATGACAACAATTTCCCTTGTGGTTTACAAGTCAATTACATCTCAAGAAGCTAAGAAACATGTCTGAAATAATTGCAGAGTTTAGAACTATGCATAATTACAGTGATTGCTCAAGGAAAAAATATTTAATTTTACTAACTGTTGCACTCAACAAATTCGAACATTTTTATGGGTATCGCACAACCTAACATGACCAACTTGGAAAAATTTTGGGGGTATCAACATGCTTTTAGGTACAAGAAATATCAAAGTTGTTAAAATCTAGACACCGGTACCTAAATGACAACTTACATTCGCTATTTTTGGCAAGTGCAACTATTTTGGCTCCGTACCAAGACACTAAGAACTTTATCTGACCACAGATCTCTCAACACCTTTGCGGTCCGTTAATGCAAGAACATCTGCGAATTCTTACAATATTTTCACTGACTTTCCAACGCTCAAACAAATTTGAAGCAGTGACTTTATCAGCGTAAACAAACAGAGGTTCAATCTGCTTCTCTACCACGATAAATAAGGTTCGAAAGGCAAATCTGAGAGAATTATTGATCAAACTTATTTCAAATGTCAAATTCGCAGTCAATCATCATGCGGCATTTAACAGAAGCAAGATCGCGAGCGAAATTAAGTTCGAAACCTTTTAACTTATCTCTCAATTTTATTGCACCCAGTTGCCTGGCTTTAAGTAAGTTAATTATCACGCTTTCATAGCCTCGAGGTGGAAAATGAAGTTATTTCCTTGTAACAGGCTGCCCTATGAGATACATGCAGCCTCTAACACCTTGACCGATAATTGAAAAGATGTGCCGTTGACTGTTTTAACGGCAAACATTGATTCACATTAAAACCAAGGCAAAACTTACGCTCTAGACCTATTCAGTGAGCTATCCTCTTGATCTTCGTCAACATCCTAAGAGTGTATCAATCAAATAAAAACATCGACACGACGATCAAACATCATCGTAAAAGTTGAGAAAACACTAAAGGCGCACGTCCACTAAATTTTACCGATTCTTCCGTGGCCAAACTCGTGCTGTCTGAAGTTGACGGAGACCTTAACACAGTCACCAAGGACATTATGCATCAAGAATACCACATCGAAAACTATAACATCAGCAACCTCTAACATCAATGATTAAATTTGCGACGAGATTTCGCACGTCAGGTCATTCCCGTTAAGGCGAAATAAAAGAAAATAAAACTTGTGGTTGCGCTTGCGCATCAGTAATGTTGACAAGCATCTCGCAAGGCATTCGCGTTGCAAGCGCAATATTCAACGTATTTTAGAGTAATTCATTCTCCCTTACCAGCGTTTCAAATCGTAAAAGGTCTCCGACGAAAAATCTAGGACTCGCATGATACGTTCCTCTCTACTTGCGCATTTGAATCGCCGGCGACAAAGTGACGACTGTGTACCGGCGAAGGATATAGTTGACTAACTTCATCACCGGAAATCGTCTGCGTGACTTGGTATTGTCGGATTACATAATGCACGAGGGTGTTAGATTTCAGGTAGTAAAGAGCACTTAAACTGAATATGAAATCTGTAAAAACGGTCCAGATCTTATCTCATATCTGTTTTCCCAGGTTCAGCATTCTGTATTGATCTAAGATCGTCATATTTTTCTAAGCTATCAACATCTCTGGTACGTCACGAAATTTTGGACGTGACACATACCGGAAATGGTGCTTCAGATGACAGGAAGACTCCAGTTCACTCTACAAATGATGGAACAAGCACGGCAGGAGAGTGCTGGTTATTTGAAGACAATCTACAATATTTGCTCCTCCGTGACTATCTTATTCTCTTAAAGCATGTTAACTAAAAATCCAAGCAGGGTACGAAACTGCTGGTTATTTTGAACACAACAATCACTATTGCTCCTTCAAATGCCTTTTTTATCGGTACGTCAGATCAAACTCCAATTTTTGCATGATTTTGATTTTCAATTATCAAACAAGAGACACGATCAAAGCTAGAAAAATACTGGGTCAAGTCGAGACATATTCAACGTCGTACGTGGTTTGCATCGTTTGCGCAAAAAGCGAAGAAAAATACGAAATAAAAGCCCGCAAAAACAGTGATAACAAAAATATTCGTTGTTAATGAAAGGCCACGAAAGTAAAGGGTCTACAGATCTATGGATTTTTAATTTAATCCTTTCCAGAAAAGCTCTAAAAAGATCTCGGACGCTGCTATTCCTCTAAACGACTTCCTTCCAGAAACTTGTCGTTCTTTAGTTATCCTATAAATACGGGCGGTAGAGCAACCATCTTAATTTGATGAAAAACCGACAGTAACGGTATTCGCTTTGTTAAAATACCGGTAACATGAAATTGTTTAGATTCCCTCAATCTAAGCCCACCTCTTCCGCTTCAACGCTCAATATACGAAAAGAAACACCATTTACGGTTATGCATTTGTTTACCAGAGTCGTTGTGTCCTGCCGCTCTCCGCCAAGGTCATGTAAAGCGTGGTCAAAATGAAAAATCTCCTATCTATGAGATTAATCTTGAAATGTCTTTGTTGCTGTTGAGTGAGACGGTGTCTGAGTGTATTTATTCATGATGATACTAGCGTTTGTCTGTGTACCTGTAACAGTGTCGATATGACGTTTTTTATTGTCTTTGTTTCAAAGAAGTGAAAACAACCACGATTGGAAATAGAGCAGTGATGACAGTATTCAAAACCAAAGTCCATGTCCTAATAATAATAGTACCATGGTTTAACGATGCCCACTTTCGTACTTTTTTAGTAAAGGGAAATTTAGTTAACCATAAAATCGCCTTGACCACCGACAGAAGAACCAATGTTTGCCCAATGATGTTTTCTTTACACAAAGCATCCGAAGTAAGTCAAAACAGCTTTACTAATTTGTTGCGTGAAAAATTTTATCGCAGTGTTACTATTCCACTGTTCGTTGATGCATGGTAGCTTGGCCTTAGACCAGCGACCGGAAAACTAATATTTAAATCAGGAAGCAATTCTTTTGTCAGTAATGTAAACTGTAAATGAAAATCGCAAAAACATTTTAAGGTGACAAATGTAAACAATAAGTGTGTAGCTATGGGTGCCTTGACGTCTTCGGTGGCCTCGCTCCTCGAGCAACCGGAAAATATTATAATACAGAGCAAAATCACTTTGATTCAATGGCTAATATCAAAGCAAACATAAATAAATTAACCGAAGAAATTGCTGACCGGTCGGCTGAATATTCCTCGATTATTTGCTAAGCGTAATTTTACAAATCTAGTCGATTTCCGCCAAGGGGAGTCACTCGAGACGCGCGTGACTAGAAGCGTGAAGAACTTGATCGAAGCTTCGATCGTACGGTATGGTGAGATCAAACACACAATCGGTTTTATTTTCATGCGTGCTTTGCATGTGAACAATGGGAAAAAAACCTGTTATTGTCGTGTGATAACACACTTAATGACCTTAACGATGCTCAATTGAACAGTTTTGACCCTTCATTAAGCGAATTGCAAGCGATCTTAGACCTGAACCAAAATATCGCCACCAGAACCTGGACGAAAAATAAAAATCGCTAACATTCTAATGATCCTACCTTTCGATTCTAAATCCATACCAGATATAAACAAACTGAAACAAGTCAGATGAACTTGCAATCCATGCATCGGGAAAGGTTTCCTAGCAAATCAGCACTGAGGAAATGCGCTACTTTTCTCGATTTTAAAAAGAGTGGGCCTCTCTATTTCGCAAAACAGTAAATCCTTAGTGAAAAGAAAATAATTTCGCGAGGGCTTTTCGAGCCATAATCAATTTCCATCTCTGGTTAATAGAATCCAGAAGCACTCATTGTCCCTGTGGAGCACGATCGATGAAATCGACTTCTACCGAATGATCGAACCCTTAATCGCGTGTTTACGCGTAGGCTTGTGTTGGCAGCTATTGCGTGTTCCCGAAGAATCGTTCAAATTGTATTCTACAATGTTTTCGTACTACAGAGAATTTAGAAGATTTCGGCCAAACAGCGTTCTTTTTGTCGACAGACTAACCCCCCCGCCTTGCCAAATGTACTCGATTTACAAACACCTACATTACAGAGACGCCTACCTTTTGGTGAAGAGTCGAAAATTCTTAGCTTTCCTTGCGGCCCGGCGAAACACTTGGAGAACACCTCGATTACCAGAAGACATATTCTGCTGTCTTTCGTTTACTACGTCACATTGTGCGTACGCCTCTGTAAAGCACTCGTTTATTCGCTTTGAATAATATTTTTAAATTCAAGTCCCATAGGGCTCAGCAGATCTAGGTGAGAATGACTTTCATAAATTATGCCAGCGCCTCAAGCAACATACTGCTTGAAATGTCTAAATATCTGTCTTTGGAAATCTGTGCAAAAATATTAAAAAATTACATGAAAAACAATAACAGAGAGCTAAGTCACGATTCACTGATACAAGGCTTTAGTAATCAAATTATCGTATAGGAAGTCATGATTTGTCACTCTTACGTCGACAGCACTGTCAATATTTTTGCAACAGGTAAAATTTATGCGCATATAGATTAACAAATAGTCTGTCGATCAATCAATCTCACTCGATTGATGAATACTGTTTTACTCCGGTTTTTAGTATCTCTGACGAGGGAAGAGGTCGAGAAAAGGTTTCATTCGACAACGAAATTATCTCTGAGGTATTTCTGTCAGGTAAAAAACAATTGATTCCGTTATTTCCACAAGTTTATGTCACATTTCCGCATGGACCAGTGTCGGAAAATCGGATTAATTTCGTTCAAATAGCTGTCACAGAAATACAACGGAAACTCTCTACTAAGGTATTAAGGGATTAGCAATTCGAATGACACTCGTCTCTTAAGAAAAGAAACACAAAAAAGGTCAGTATCTCTGCTTATTTTGCCAAACATTCCGCCACAATACACGAGCTAAGATAAAAATATTGTGTGACGCAGGTGAAGTCTGCCTGCGAAAACGATTTACACAGCTGCCAAGATTTTTTCGTTTTTTTGCCGTACGAAGTGACTCGAAATATTACTACTCTCCCTGGATGGGACGCATGTCTATCGCAGCCCCCCCTCCCCTTCCTCCCTCCAGCATTAATCAGGCTTCCTTGAATTCTGGTACCAATTTACACTCCTGGGTGAAGAGAGCGGATCACAGTAACCCAAAGAGTCAAAATCGTCACTTTTGAACCGCAGTACTACAGCACGCCACGCTTCGGTCATAAGACCACCGCTACCCTCACAAACAACTGTCATAAGGCGTGCAGCAAATTAAGAAAAAAATCGTAATCATTTCCCTAGCTTCGAGGTCACCTCAGTTAGGAGCGTACAGTTTGTGGATTTAGCACTTATGGTGCGAGAAAAAGAGGCGTCACCATTTTCCGAGGAGTAAGATGTTTCTCACGCTCCATAATATTAGCGCAAACAACAAACTCCTCAGCGGCTAATGATACAGTTTACGACTCACGCTTTAAGTACCCAATCATTTGAGTTTTAACTGACCTGACCATCATTCCCATGTTACACTCCTAACCCATGACAAATAATCCCTCTGTCAATACCCTTTTCAAAATTCTGTTGGACGGCGTTTCTCGGGGACTAAACTTTTAGTACGTAAGGAAATGGGATTGAGAAAAATGTTCATGCTTGTCTCTTACTGGAATTAAATATGATCATGACAAAAGCCGGTTCAAATTTTCAATTAGCAAGTCAGTAACAGGTGGATTTTCAAGGGCGTGTTGGTGTTTCTCTGTTTCTTCAAAACAACACGTATCGCGTGTGATATGTTTTGTGTCCATAGTGACACAGCGCTTCGCTTTCCATTGGGAAAACTGTCCAGTCATTGGCTAAAGAAGTAAAAATATATCATAGTATAACAAAGACGAGGAAATATTTCCACTTTCTCATTAAAAATGTTTTCAGTTTCGAGTGCGTGAATGATTGTCAATTGATTAAGGAAGTTAGACAGATCTCACCTTATACGGTCACGTATAAACGCAAGATCCCATCCTATGTAATAATAATTTCCTTAGTTCTTCAGCTTTCAGATTGAGTGGAAAAACGATCACAAAATATACGCATAGAGGTGCCAGTCAAAGTAGTTCTGAATCGTATAATAAAAAACCATTACGTAGTTGCATTGTGGATATCAGCCCGAGCAGGTTTAACACAGCACAAGACGATAAGATCGACACGCGCGAGCGAAATGTCACATTCTGTTTAGGGTGAGCGACATCCAACAGAAACATTACTTTATTTACATAAGCATAGGCTAAGCGCGTGGTGGCCCCTGAGAGTTTCAACTTTAATACACTAAGAGCTCAAGTAAGTCATGCAATTAAGATTTTCGCCCGCCTATTAACTCCGTACTGCCTAGTGACAGGTGGTACGCGAGAACGAGTCATACACGCGCGAGGGAGATTAGACCTTCGCTCGCGTGATGGACTTCTCGCTCGTTCAAGTCGCTTTTAAATCACCCCCACGAAGGTAATGAAATCAGCTAAGGTTAACATTCACAACCGATAGTTTACGTTCCCTAGCGTAAAATTCTGGTGTCTGGCGAGACAGACTTGTCAAAAGCTTGGTAAGAAAGCGTTTACATTAATTAACGTTTAGGCACCTTATAACACGTACCTTTGTACGAGTGTATCTCCAGTAAACGACTGGCAACCATTTCCTTGAACCGGAATAAAAGTGCGTGAACTCCTAGAGGCGACGAAACTCGTTGTCATCTTTAAAGCGAAAAACAGTTTTGTAAAATCAGTGAACAACGCAAACAATGACAGGCCGAGACGAAGCAGGTTGAACTGAATACTTCCTTAGGCTGTACATCGATTTTAATAGTTTTAGATCGCGATTAAATTACACCGGGCAATTGATCCTCTGCTATGTTTGGTACTCGCTAAGAGGGGGATGCCATGAAGTGAAGGTGCTCTCTTGAGAAGTGTTCAAGTACCAAATAATGGTGCATATTTTTACATCTAGTGTGTAACAGTGCTAAAGAAAGGCTTTGGTAGACTAAACATCAACTCATACAGTTTCAATTTCCGGGTGCTTAAAGCCCAGACTCAGCTGTTCAAAGGGCAGATAACGCAATCCAATGGATAAATCGCAATTCAGCGAATAAGCGTACTGCGTTATTCAATAGATAGAGATTTATGCAATGAATAACAACCGGGCAATCAATGCAATGAATAGCAACCGCCTACCATTAAAAACCTCCGTTGATAACACTAGCATGACAAACATAGAACAAAAGCTTTTATTCTGAGAAAAAAAATTATGAAAAAATGAAACCAGTTTTAAAGAGATCAAAACACAGTTCGAATAGAAGTGTCCAGTTCACCATCCGTCAACCGCTGGCGGCGCATTTCGTCCACAGTAGCGGAGATTACATCCGGGAGTTGGGCCGAGTTTGTAAACGTAGAATCCACCACAATTCCTCACCAGTACCTTACGGCGAAGCTCGCAACAGCCGGACACATAATCACCAAAACAAACCATGCGTTCAACACACCCGTCATCTTTATGAGGATGCGAGCCAAACAACCAGCCGGGATATTGTGTGTTACATCTACCGGGGCCTGGGCATGCGTTTGGCATCTGAACCCCAGCGGAACCAGAAATTCGGTACCAACCCTCTGCTAAATTGTCGTCGCATTTACCCAACAATTCTCGACTCATGAGGTTTCTGTCCTGCTCTGTCAGGAGGCGGTAGTGTTGGCATTCGTAAGCCACTAGTCCTACATTGTAACCTAGAAAAATAGAACGAGGCATAAAAAACGGCAGACTCATGCGTTGATAATCGAGTGTCATCTATGTCGAAATTAAATGTAAATTTCGAAAAAAAAAATGAGGTTTATGATTTGGAATAAGACACTTACAAATTGACGTTGATAATTGATTGATAATGGCGATAGTCTGGGTCGAATTCAAATCCAGCGCTAGTGTTTCATGCCGAGACGAGGAATGTCGTTGACCCCCCTCCCCTCCTACGAGTGTTTCTGGTGTCGCTTTAGCCTCATCAGCAAGTAAAACAGCACGGAATCCGCGCGAAATAGAACACGGCGCAATAGTAGCAACAGTGGGAAAAAAACGAGAGAGGTTTGAGTCAGGTCGTTCATTACGCCACTATCTCGCCGTTTACAATCGCGTTTCGTTTTCTTTAATGAAAAGTATGGAATAGGCTTATTTCATCTATGATTTTTAACTGATTAAAGCTTGATTTCCTCCGCACACTATACTCCAGGCCTGATCTTCCCCGGGTGTCTGTTTGGGGTAGGAGTGTGAGCTCATTTTCCGAACAACGGTGGGTTATCGAGGCTCATTTTCCGAACAACTGTTGGTTATCGAAGCTAACACTGAAAAGACACGGAGCTACTAAAATGTATAATTTAGTAAACTTACAATAAGGCTGAGTTCCGCTCCACACTCCATCTTTGCCACAAACTCTGGCAGACGATCCATACAGCATACAGCCTGGATTGCAAGCAAACCTCACAATACTTCCCACAACAGAATAATCATCGCTTATCTTGTAACCGTCGACAGGATCAGCCAGCTCACGGCACTTTCGAAGCTCTGTACACACAAGAAGTCAGCAAGTCAATTGTAGCAATTTCCAATCGAAATTAAGAGCAGGTTTCAATTAAATGACGCAAAATCACAACCAAAGTAATCGCAATAGCCAATCATGAAAAAGGTTTGCGTCATCATGAGCCAATCATAAGAAAGGTTTGCGTCATCATGAACCAATCATAAAAAAGGTTTGCGTCATCATGAGCCGATGAGGAATCAAGGTGAAGAAAGGCATACAACAAAAAGCGCGGGAAAACGCGAGCGAACAAGGTATCATTTGTTTCCAATGCGTCTGAATGGGTTTAAGTATCGCGCGAGACTAATTACATTCGGAAATAAGCTTACGTTTAGTTTGTTCAGTCCTGCAAACAAGGATAAGTGTGAGTCGAGAGCGGGACAAGTGCGAGAAGCGAGTCAAACGCGAAGAGAGGAGCGCGTCCCTTTTTTTTCAGCATTCCTCTTCTCGCCCTAGCTTCGGCCCTTCTGAAAAACATCCCAAAAAAGACGCCTATTCTACAGAATCCTCACCAATTGTCGTCGTGTACGTGAATGGTTCGTTCCTCACAGAGGTTGTTCCAACGCATTTGTAATCTCCCTGCTCTTCGGGTCGAAGCCGCTCCAGGTTTAATTCTCCAGTAACCTCATCGCCATCGATTATCGTCCTCGTTGGCATGGCAACACCATCCTTATACCAAGTGATATTCGGCATAGGCACACCACGTGCGGAGCAATTTACGCGGACAGGAGCATCGAATTCTTGGAGTGTCACAATGCTCAAAGGAACGTTTGTCACTTCCACTGGTTCTGGGAAAGAGTTTAAGGGACCAATCAGTATTTGTCACCGGCGGTTGGGAGAGGGGGGGGGGCTGAAAGGTTTTTTCAGGGGAAACAGAGTGGTGGGGGGGGGGGAGTCAGTCCTCGCCATATTGAGTATTAAGGGAGACTATAGAAAATTGACTGCTAACACAGAACCATACGGGAGGATCAGGTAAAATTAACGTGACACAACCAAAATCCTCCGGCCACAAATAATTACTGGTCTTTTAGAAGTCAGTTTGGCAAGGATTTTAATCCTTACGATCAAAGTCCCACCGTAAAACCGAACCTGATCTATATTTATTACGATCGTGACAGAACCAGAATGAGCAATCCATATAGTTGGCCGATTTTCGAAGTTCATTCTGTGGGGAAGTCTTGTATGTCAGAAGACCTGATTCCTCCACTTTTACAAACTCTTACAATGAAACTTGTATGGAACAAACTTTCGTATGAGACCCTTGCTTGGGTCTGCTTGATACAGGGATTTAGTCAGTTATTTATTAAAAGCCCCAAACTTTTCAAATAATGCGACGTCTTCGCAAATACGAAAAAAGGACGATTGAGAGTTGGGCTGATGTTTGACCAAGTTAGTACAGCTTGGCTTAACCGCTTGATCTCTAAGAGTGACTTACCCTTAATTTCTCCTCACAATATTACCCCTGAATCACACATTAAGTCTCACGAGAATAAACGAAATGATCACCAACTGAGGAGGCTCTTGATTGTTAAACAAATCCTCCCAGTCAGCACCTTACGAAATGTATGACAAACAGTATTGAGCATATACTTACTGATGTTACGGTGTAACAGGGTTAGTGTAAGTTTCACTGCTCAAACAAACTCACCATAGGTTTGTACTGTGACCTCAGTACCTCCCATAACAGACCCTGCTGGGTTTGAGGCGTGGCACATGTAGATGTCTTCATCCGCTTTGATAGGATTCCTTAAGTACAGGTTGTTATTTCGGATATAGTGCCTGTCAAAAGGAAGCTCCTTGTTGCCTTGACGACGCCATTCTATCTTGGGTGATGGAAATCCTTCTACATCGCATTTTATCTCGGTGATTTGATCCGTAAAAGCTGTGATTTTTGGCACGGGTGCTACAGAGAATGTCGGCTCGGCTAAAAAATAAGTCAAGAGAAAATTGCGAGTATCATTTTTTTAGTTCTTAACGGAAAGAGCAGTTAGAACTGGAAGAGGCGGATCCAGAATTTCTGAATAGGGGGTTCTGCGCCTACGCCTCATTATTAGTGCCTCAGTGGGAGCGGTTCTCCACTCTCCAATAAGTTTGAGGCATTGAGCAACATCAGCCGGCGAGGGGTCTGCAAGTGGTCTGACAAACGTCTCGCGGGTAAGTGATGCTTAAGGCCTTAAACTTACTCACGAGGGAAGAAACGCTCCCACTGAGGCGCTGATAATAAGAGCATGCTCGCAAGCTAGACGTTAACGTTGCGATCGCTAGTCGGGTACACCAAGCTACACTAAAATGATTGCCAGTTGTGTTTTCTTGGGAAGCTTGAAGTTGTCAGCTATACGAACAATAAAATTACCATTTACCATCATTCTCAGATCACTTACTCGCTACGATAAGTTCTACGTTAGCGGTATCTGTACCCATGAGGTTACTTGCACGGCAAGTCCAGTTTCCAGAGTCCTCCGGGAGAGCGTTCTCCAAGGTGAAATAATTTCCGATGACCGCACGTCCATTGTTCTTTTTCACCCAAATTATTTCTGGTTTCGGTAATCCATCGGCAGAACAACCTAGGACTATATAGTCTCCTTTCGTAGCTATGTAGGATTTCGGAGGCTTAATTGTTATGTTCGGCTTGGCTGAAAAAGAGTTTTTGGAGGTTTGGTAACTGTGAAAGTACAACATTCACTGACCCACATGGTCCCATCCTAGTAATGTAATCTAAACGTACTCGAGCGAATGAAAGAATTTTTTGCTCTTTAATCCTTTACACCCTAACATCAGTACACATATTCTCGATACAATTCTCTGTACATTTCCTAAGGTGCTGACAGGAGAATTTGTTTAATTCCAATTTTGTCAAAAAATCTTTGTTTATTCTGTTTTGACCCATAATTGTGTGCAGCCTTGGCAGCACGTGTGAGACGCATACTCGTGCGCACAAAGACGTACGTTCGTACATGCGTACGTACGCACGTGCATGCGTACGCACGCACGCACATACGCATGTACGCACGTACGTCCGCATGAATGCGTACGTACGCATGTACGAACGTACGTCTTTGTGCGCACGAGTATCTCGCATCTTTACCGTGTGATTCAGGGGTGATATTGTAGGGAGAAATTAGATGCTATCACTCGTAGGGGTAAAGGGCTTCAAGGAAGTATCTCATGGCAACGAAAAAGCCTCCGAGAGAGAGGACATATAGAGCTTTTTAGGTTAGTTACCGTTAATTATCTTGAAAAAAGATAAATTCGCTAAATGAATGTCGCTAAAATATGTATGTAACAAGGTAGCTTGGCCTTTCTTGAGGGTCTGGAAGCGTGATCTCTTCACAAAACTCGGCAAATGATTTTACAAATAGCATTTACTCACAGAATCCTTCAAACGTTGGTGTTTTTTTGTCCGGCTCCTTTGTCTGCTTGCCATCTCCGTCTCCCGTTGGGCGTGTAACCTTTGTCGGAGCTGACCGCCCCGGGGGTCCAGGAGGGCCACGCAGACCCCGTGAGCCACGAGCCCCTGCATTTCCTGAAGGACCTGGAGGGCCCGGAAGTCCGTTTGCACCCGGGGCCCCTGCAGTCCCCGGGGGGCCAGGTGTTCCCGCTGCTCCCGCTTGACCGTTTGCACCCGGCATACCGGGAGGACCAACAGGTCCTTGAACACCAGGGGGACCTGCGGGCCCTTGAATTCCTTGTGGACCCGGAGGACCAGGGATTGACTTCACATCTGTCAAGAGTAAGAATTTAAAACTTTCATCTTATCCTCAGTCTTCTTTCCTTCTAAAATCACTGTGAAGCGACAAATGAAGACAAAATAACGGATAAAAGAAACGACAAGAATATTCTAAGGAATAGAAAGAAGGTGCCAGTCCTTGAAGAACAAACAGCATTTACGTAATTACAGTTAATTTTTTTCAAACAACATGAATGAAAGCGATACTTTTCCCTAAGCCAAGAATCTATGGATTTCTTGAGAGATTGAGGAGATCAAATAAATACATTAAGACACACGTTTAAGAACACGTAACAAGAAAACAATTTGGTATTCGAATGAGTGCATCGACAGGAACGATAAAGGCTGACAGATTGGATGGATGAATCTTTTTATTGAAAGAAACCAAACAAGAAGTGATAACCATGAATTCAGAAATGATAACAGATTGTACAGCCTTATGCCAAGTCACGGCTGGTTTCACCTACAATGGCAGTGCGGTGCGTACTGAATGGCAAAGTTTTCTGGTCACAGAGTATAGCATTGCTATGTGAACAAGGAAGAGAAACACTTAATTCTATAGCAGCCTTTTGCCCTTGTCTAAAGCAGTGTAAACACTCGAAATTTCCAATTCACGTAAGAGCTTGGCGTAGTCGAGTGTAGCATGGCATAGCGAAGCAAGGTAGAACCTTGGCATAGCATGACTTTGCATAGCTTGGCGTGTCAGACAACATGCTTACTACATTACACTGCACGTGGACAGCATGCTTACTGCATTACCTTGCATTTAGACGGCATACTTCTTACTGCATTACACTGCACGTGGACGGCACGCCTACAGCATAACACTGCATGGTATGGTCTGGCTTACCTTGGGCTGACTTACCTTAGTTTGGTTTGGCTTGGTTTAGAGACCCTCCCGCAAGGAGTAAGGAGGAAGTTTTAACTGATATGGCAATGACCGATGTGGGCATCGAGACGGTCATAGCATTGTTGCGCACTGCATAGCATTGCATGGCATGTTTCCTTGCTTGGCTTGCGCATAGCAGGTATAGCATTGCATGACATTTCTTGTAAGGCATGGCATTGCATTTCTATTCACGACTTGGTATGATATGAATTAGTATGATGTTTCTTGACTTGGAATTGAATCACAACATGTATGGTATGGCATATATGGTATGGCATAGAAGATAAAGCATGACATGTTCATAGGTACAGTGTGGGTTGGAGTGGCACCAGTTCATGATTTGCAATAGTCTTGCATCAATTTGCGTGACATAGCGTGAGATGGAGAGTAGCTACGAGATGACTTTTAAAGAATCGTTCCTTCCTTATGAGATAAATAGTACATCCAACACAACAGCGTACAGTGTCCGGTTTGTCATGTATAACTAAACGTTTTTATGATCACGGTTTCTTTAAAAAATTAATTGCAAACAGCCTTGAAACGAGTACCAGGATAAAGTAAATAAAGGTGCTGCGAACCTCGCTTTTACGATCAGCTACAATGAAATTCCTCTTTTAGATACACACACGCATTTTCCATTGTAGCTTTCGAAACACATGACATGCACATATAACGATTCAACACCAATTTTAAGGGCACTACAAACATAGTACGTTTAATACGATACTTTTTAGAATTACGCATAATTTTCGCAGCCGTCCATTGGAACGTCACGGCTGCCAGCAGACTACGAATTAAATAGATTACAGGAATCACTATAAAAAGAAACATTTTCATTCCTGTTTAGTGCATTAGAAATGTTCACAATTGATTTCAAATCATGCAATTTCGGTTCGAATGTTCTCTAAACCAGAAACTTACCTGTGATAGTTCTCAAACGAGAATTCACCACTTCGATGATTTTTTGATTCAATTCGCTCCCATCTAGGGAAAGTTACATACAAGAAAATGCAGCATGCATGCATAAATTGATAAATATTATTTTACATGCAAGTAAACGTGCATCATGCACATGCAGTGATGGATACAATGCAAAAAAAAAAAAACTGACCAATAAAGCACATCCAGCACTACGTGTTCTTTCTTGTATGGAAATATTAACGGCTACAATTAAATGCGCATATGCATAGCAATTTATGATATATCACTATACATTAAACAAAATAACAGATGATGACATGCAGTAATAAACAGCATTCAGTTATCGAACGTTGATACACAGAGTAAGAAATTGTAGGATATAAAAATCCTTCCATATTAAAAATTAGTTACGAACTTCAAATCAGCTAGGTACATTTTAATCAGATAAATATGTATAAACAACATGCAAATTAATCATGTAACATACAACAGAATGAACGAGCAGCTAAAGTAGAGTCTATCCTTTGCACGAAAGGGACCATGTAAAGACATGCGCGAGACCAATATGAAGAAAACATGCAACATATGCATCTCGCAATATGCAAGACATGCAATTACAGGTGGAGTAGAAATCATGCAACAATATGCACATTTACAACATGCAAATACACACCGTGCAACATGCAAATACACACCATGCAGCTTTAAGATATACACCATGCAACATACAAAAGACCCAAGAGTTGTTACTGCACTGTTCCACGCGTAAACAAGCATTAGATGCCAAAATGCCCATGCAAAACAAGCAAATATCACCATGACAGATATACTTTAACTTTTGTAGCTATAAAAGCAGCAGAGACTGTATAGAGAGATAAAAACATGATAAAACTCAACATACATTATGCAACATACTAATGTTTGTAATGCAACCTACAGACTGATTGGGATTAAATCGAGTTAACAGCAACTGTTATTCGTAGTAGCAACACTATCCTATGCAAAAAAGCCCCACATAACGCAGTATCATAGACTCTTTCTTCCCACCTATGATCTCACCAACGAAAGCCTTAACAAAGCTCTGTATGGTGCGGTTATCAGACGGTCGAGATTGTAATGGCAAGGTAAGGTAAAGTAAAGTTAAACGACAACAGAAAATAGTTACTGACCACCTAAACTGATGTCACAGCCATATCGCGAAAATAGGCTAAAATGCAAACTACACTTAAGTGAGATTTGTTACATTATACCTACCGGTATACTTATCTAAATACGCTTCTAGAAAATTCTGGATTGTGCGGTTTAGGGGTGGCTGCGCTTCTGGTGAAAGATTGAGCCCATCTGAGTGGTAGAATTGTAAAATCTTTAGCAAGTAATACCTTAATCTTAAAGAGAGAAAAAAAAAACGTTGACATAGATATTCAAGCATTTAAGCCGCGCACTAACCAATATGTTGATTCACGAAGGCGTTTACAATATTCTGGATCGTGCTGTTGTCAAGCGGCGCTGATTGCGGTTGTGATGCGGAAAGATTGCGCCCACCTTCAACGAAAAAAATCCTCTGTTCGAGAAAGACAATTGGAAGAACGGGAATGGTGAGAGAACTGTAGAAAGTCAAGTGGCTTACTCACCCAAATATTCCTGTACATAGTGCTCAACAAAGGGCTGAATTGTGCTGTTATCAAGAGGTAGACGTTGCGGTTGAAACGCGGAGAAATTGCGTTCATCTAAAAAAGACGTACATAACATTAGTCCCTGATAGAGTGCTTTTCGATTGAGTGTCGTAAAACGAAAACCAATGCAATTATAACGGCCAGACATTATTTTTGACACTAAATTGATAACTGTTTCATAACTATTAGCATCTGTCGATGGTTGAGACACATTTGATAACCACGAAAACTTGAACACCACAGACCTTGAAGTACAGAGGCATTTATGAAGTGCTAAAATGCAATAAGTATGTCTTTTACTAACCGATGTATTCGTTCACATATTTCCGCACAAAGCTCTGAATTGTGCTGTTAGAAGGAGGAGTTGATTGCGGTTGCGTCGCGTTAATATTACGCCCACCTGAAATTAAAAAAAAAAAAAAATCATATCCACGCGAGAGAACATGGTGGTTGTGAAACTCACACAAACTTTCAAAGCATAATAATGCCGGGATTTAAAGTACCACAGTATACCAACCACGATATTCAGCGAGATATAATTCAACAAGATTCTGGATGGTGCGGTTATCGTGAGGTTGAGGTTTCAGTGCAGAAAGGTTGCGTCCGCCTTGAATGAATAGGAATAAAAAGGGTAAGAGGTGAAGTGAACATCAAATAACGTGAAAGAAAATGAATGCAGAACGACAGGCATACAGATAACAACAGTATACTAACCCAGAATCTCTTTTATATAATCATTCACTAAATTTTGGATCGTGCGGTTATCAGGCGACTTCGGTCGAGGTTGTGATGCGGATATATTGAGTCCGCCTTCAATGAAAGAGGAAAAGCAAGATTACCATACTGAGAATTCTACAAATAAGTCGCGTACCGTGATTGTGGGTTGTTTGATTGTTTTTCTGCCCCTTCACGAAAAGAAGTTGATGAGTACACGGAGTGCGGTTGCTCGGCAGCCAGAGGCATTGGGATTGTAAAGTGGGGAAATTCAGTCTTCCTTAATTTCCAGTAAAATTCGTGTTTTTGCGTTTCTGTCTCAACTCTAGAAGCTGAAAAATCTTTTGGAATGGAGTCGGCTCAAAGCTGTTTTAAATCATAGAAAATGACTGAATCGCGACACGAAAAGTCACTCGGATAACCACAGTAACTAAACACTAATAAACTCACCGACATACTCGTCAACATAATTCTCTACAAATTTCTGAATCGCATCATTATCAGGCGGTTGTAATGAGGATAAATTGAGGCTGCCTTAAACGCAAAAAAAAAAAAAACGAGCTGTAATAATTTCTTGATATTCATCTTATCAAAGTTACAAGTGCAGTAAATCTCTTAAATTTGTTCCAGCAAATGTCTACATACTCTTTCCCCAAATCAAGCATTGTACGACTATAAGACACTCTCGTCTCAGGCTATGACGATGATAAATATGTGGCCAGTTTACATAGAATACTCACCGACATATTGGTCAACATAGTCTTCTACAAAGCTCCGAATGGTTTGGTTATCAGGTGCTTGGACTGCGGATTGTGATGAGGATAAATTGAGTTCACCTCGATTTAAAAAGAAAGACGTCTTCATCTTAGAATCTTAGGTTAAAACCTTGTTATAAAGGTTACAGGAGAGACACATCTTCACCCACCATTATGAGAACATACTCACCAACGTATTCATCCACATAATCTTTGACAAACTTCTGTATGGTTCGGTTATCAGGGAATGAAAACTGTTGTGGTGAAGAGAGATTTAATCCACCTGAAATGAAAGATGACAGCAGATTATCTGGCAAAGTAAACCTCCGTCAAAGTAACAGAGCGCCTTTTGATTGAGAATTGTTAACCAAACCTAAATCAATTACAACAGCCATTCACAAGTTATATCATATATACCATATCACAAGTAAGCAATGCGAAAGAAAACCTGACATAAGCGCGGGAAAACGTGGATGGATGAGTCGTAATTGATTTCAGTTTTGTGTGAATGGTTGAGAAGACAGAACGAGTTCTATGGACCAATCAAAGAGAAAGATAAAGAAAACCCAGTGGAATCGCTGCCTACTTACGGTAACTTTCGAAACTCAGTTAAAGATTGCTAAATACAAGTGAACATAAATAGGGACACTCCTACCTATAAACTGGTTTACATAGTCTTCAACAACGCTTTCGATAGAGCGATTACCAAGGCCGTTTGCCCGCTGCAGCGAAGAGGATAAATTAAGTCCATCTTTCAAAGAAAAAAGGAAATTCCATCTGCGTTAAGTAAAGGGAAAAAAACGAATTCGAAAACGCAGAATACCTTTGTAATCATCCTTTTGAGCATTTATGATTTCTTTAACCTTTTAACTCCCAAGATATGATTGTTAATTCTCTCCTCTCGCTGCAACACATTCCCTTGTAAATTAGTTATGGGA